ACGTAAAATGTAACTCTCTATTACACGATTGACTTGAAAATTACATCGATCCTTAAAAACAGCCATCTCAAGGACCAATGTAACATTTTAGTCAATCGTGTAACAAGGAACTAAATGTAACTCTCTAATTGCACGAATTGCATTTTACTATCGTACGTTCAACAAATAATATCACGAAATTTCTTATGCCACGAAAATATCTTACTTCACCCTACAGAAATATGTACTATGGACGCTTACGGTACGCTGGTAACAAGGACTTGGTCTTCAGTATCCGCGTCATCAGCATATAGTTTTGGTTGCGTACCTCCTGCGCCCTCTTCCTCTGTAGCTCTGCGTAAGCGGTCGACGAAGATCCGGGCATCACGTACGATTTCGTGGGCAAGTATGCGTTTTTCACTCGCGTAGCGATCGGTTGCGGAACGCGGTCCGTCCCGTTCATGGCGGCGGTTCGCGCGGCCAACGATCTACGGTCGATCACCGCTACCGTGGCCTGAGGTTTGGCCGCCGCCCGCTCGTGCACGTCCCGCGGTGGTTTGGCCGTGGTCTGCTCACGCATGGCTCGTGGCGGTTTGGCCGCCGTTCGCTCGTTCGTGGCTCGCGGTGGTTTGGGCGCCGTTCGCTCTTTCGTGGCTCGCGGTTGTTTGGCCACCGTCCGTTCGCGCATGGCTCGCGGTGGTTTGGCCACCGTCCGTTCGCGCGTGGCTCGCGGTGGTTTGGCCGCAGTCCGCCCGACCGTGGCCCGTGATCCGGCCCCCGTCCGCCCGTCCGTGGACCGGGGGCCGGCCGCCGTTCGCTCGTGCGCGTCCCGTGGCGGTTTGGTCGCCGTCCGCTTGCGCGTGGCTCGCGGTGGTTTGGCCACCGTCAATTCGTTCGCGGCCCGAGGTAAGGCTGCCGTCCGTTCGTGCGCGTCCAGCGGTGGTTTGGCCGCCTTCCGCTCGATCGCGGCCCGAACCGCCTCGTACGAATGCTGCGGATCCTGGGCGGACGCCGATTCATCACCCTCGCCTACCGCCCACGTACTCCCGGCCACCGGTATATTCTCGGCCACCGGTGGCATGCACTTCGTCGCCGGCTTCTCGTCGACCATCATATCGGGCTTCGAGCACCGTCTCCACGTCGGTTTCACGTACTCGAATCCGTTGTAGCACATCGGGCGGTGCGCGTCCGTCACGTCGGTCGCCATCGACAACGATACTTCCGACGACACATCTTCATCGGCGGTAAATGTTTGCGGAATTACGTCCATCTTTAGGTTGCGCGGCGTCTCGGGTTGAGATCCAATTAAGTGATGTACCGAATTAGCGGTACGATTTAGCTTCTAAAACTTAACGTTGCAACTATTCCGCGTGCTCGGGACTTAATAACGTTCCACACAATCGGATATGTTGTTACGGTTTTTTTTTTGTTGCGGTTCACGGTTTCCGTGATTTATATCGGCCAGCAGCACGAATTCGTATCCACGTAGAAACGTGCATAACGCATAGAACGTGTACACTACAAACGCGTGTGCAAAAATAATTGTTGAATCGATGTTTAATTAAAAAAAAAAAAAAAAAATGTTTATTAAGTTTTTTAAGTTCTCGTAACTTAAAAGTTGAAGCTTAGTATAATATAAGAGAATAGTTTTATTATATTAACCTGTGTCAGTATACATGAGTTTAATTCTGTCCCCCTAGTGTTTCCGCATAACATTGTAGTGATAATCATACGTAAGTGTTTTTGATACATCAATCACTGCAAATGCTGTAGCAAATAAACGTATTATTATTAATATAAAATTTAAAAAAAGTATATTTACCGATATAGATAGGTTTGTCAAAATGTATCAATTTATTCTCAAGCGTTACAGCATTGAGATTCTCATTGTACGTGGTACAGTGTTTAAATGTACATTTATTTGTTAATTTCTGCAGCCTCCTCTCAGACGATACTGACTCCATCTTCATCTCTTTTCTTTTAGACTGCATTGTTTTACCTAAAAAAAATAAAATGTTAGTAAAAATGTTTAAATAGTATAAATAAAGTGACATACCAAATACAGTATTGTTCATCAACTTAAAGAAGTCTTTCTCAAATGCGTTCTTCGCCTTTTTCCTCATTTCGGTGTTCAGATCTATGTATTTAGCCAACCAATTGGACTGATTAAACTGAATAACCCTATGTACCTATGAGAAAAAAAATGTTAAAAATGCTATAAGATGTTATAAAATATATGATAAATATTTACTTTTTCAACTTTCAATCCATTCTTTATTGCCTGCT